GCAGAACTTGGATCTGGCTTAAATAACAACCCCCCATCTTACCAAAGGACGGGGAAAATTTGTTTATGCAATAATTTCCCCAAATCATTCTTAACCTACGAAAAAAATATATATACTTGTTTGTTTTATTAAAAAATTGTTGTAAACAAATCAAAAATATTTTTATTGGGGTTTAGGCTAAAATAAATTGTTTTTGTTATAAAAATTTTAGGAAGTTTCTAATTTCCCTTTTTGGTAAAAATTATAAATTTTTACTCAACATTAATGAAAAAAAATTTTCTTTAAACTATGGGGAAAAAATTTTAAAAAGGACTTAATTTTAAATGATTCTTGCTAATTACCAGTTTTACATATTCTCAGACATATATTAATAATATATATATAAAATTTATATATAATATATATATTATATAATATATAATATATTTTATAATAATTTTAATATATTCGGCCGAATATGAAAAATGGTCAATTGCAAAACCATTTAAAATTAAGTCCTTTCTAAAATTTTTTCTTTAATTTTAAAATATATTTTTTTCTTTAAATGTTAATGAAAAATTTTTTAAAATTTTTGCCCAAAAGAATTTTAAAAATTACCTAACCTTTTATAACAAAAAACAATTTATTTTAGCCTAACCCAACTAAATATTTTAATACGTTTACAGTAATTTAATACTAAACAAAACAGTGAAATATTTTTTTTTTCTTAGTTTCAGTGATTTTGGGGGAAATTATTGCTACACAAATTTTCACTTGTCCCATTGGCAAATAGCGTTGCTATTTAGCCCGATCGCAAAATTTTGCCTATTCGGACGACATAATAAAATATTATATAAAAATATTTAAAATAATATTATATAATATATATATATATATATAATATTATATATATAATAATATATAATATATTTAAACAATAAATCACAATAAACAGGCAAAAATAGCAAAAAAACCACTGTAGAAGAATAGGAAATTTCCCAAAGGGTATGTCATGTAAATTACTAAATGGTTGTTGACATTTTGAGCCCTATTGTTGGCAAAATTTCTAACTTTAATGCTAAAAACAACATAGATTTAGCTAATAAATTAAGGTCCTGGACTGACTTGAATGATTTTAACATGATTAGTTTTGATGTTACTTCCTTGTTTACACAAGTTCCAGTTGATGATTTATTAAGTTTCTTACCTGAACAACTTGCTAATTGTGATTTTCCGTTGCCAGTTCCTTCTATCATTAAACATATTAACTTTGCATTTTTGATGGAAAATTTGTATTTAATGATAAGTTTTATACTCAGAAGTTTGGTATATCAATAGGAAATCCTCTTTCACCTGTTCATAAGTAACCTATGCATGGATTTTTTTTGAAACAAGACTGCTTAACATTATTCTCCCTAATAAAGCTAAATGGTTCAGATATGTTGATGATATTTTGAGTCTTATGCCTAAGAATGTAGATATACACCATTTCCTTGTTAAACTAAATATCTTAGCCCATTCTATAAACTTTAAGTTTGAGGAGAATAACTCATTGCCTTTCAATAATGACTTCAAATTTAAAATTTACAGAAAATCTACAAAAACCTATTCCTATGTACACTATTCTTCTTCACATCAAGATAGAGTTAAACTGTCGGTTTTCTCATCAATGTTTTTGAGAGCTTTACGTATTTGTAGTCCGGAGTTCATAGATGAAGAAATATCCAAAATTTGTGAAATAGCTAATGTAATAAAGTTGGTAGAATTACCGACAATATGTAAAGTAAAAGGACACAAGTGCAACTAATGTGACATTTATTGTGGCAACGTTTCGCTCTCCAGGAGCTTTATCAAGCCATTACAAACAATACATGGACACAGAGGGTATATAAAGGCTCAGAGTGAGGTGAATACTAGTGAGGTACCATTTAGATGCTCACTAGTGGTAGTAGTAGTAGTAGTAGTAGTGGTAGTGACAAAAGTAATACAATATGGTAGAGCAATTAATTCGTACATGAGTAAAAGGATATAAAAGCTATTACCCAAGTAATAGCTTTTATATCCTTTTACTCATGTACGAATTAATTGCTCTACCATATTGTATTACTTTTGTCACTACCACTACTACTACTACTACTACTACCACTAGTGAGCATCTAAATGGTACCTCACTAGTATTCACCTCACTCTGAGCCTTTATATACCCTCTGTGCCCATGTATTGTTTGTAATGGCTTGATAAAGCTCCTGGAGAGCGAAACGTTGCCACAATAAATGTCACATTAGTTGCACTTGTGTCCTTTTACTTTACAAATAGCTAATGATCTGAAATACCCAAGAAACGTAATTAATAAATCTTTTAAAATTGCTAGAAATACTTTTTGCAATCCAAAAAGGGACAACCAACCTAATTCAACTAAAAATATGTTGGTTCTCCCTTACCATGAAAACTTGGTTGATATGCCTTCTCTTCTTAAGACTTTTAATATCAAAGTTATATTTAAAAATCTTAATACAGTAAAATAAACTTTTGATAAAGAATTCCCCCAAAATGCTGATGGATGTGTCTATGAGATTCCTTGTAAAATTTGCGATAAAATTTATTACGGTCAAACTGGGAAAAGTCTCGAACTAAGATGAAAACAACATAAATATAACATTAGAACTGGACAAGATTCTAATGCTCTATTTATTCATGTGAGAGATTTTAACCATCCAATTGATTTTCAAAATGCTGAGAAAGTTGTATCAAGCAAGTCCATGGTCGACAGGAATATAATTGAATCATGTTTCATAAAAAAAAGTTTTGAAAGTAATATGAATATTTCCTTTGGTTTACATGAATTAGATTCATTTATAATTAATAAAATTTGTGAAGAATTTAATAATACATTAAACAAATAATACATATTAATTCTTGGGTAGAGTGCTAGGTTTGGGGAAATATTTTGTTAGTGGGATGGAAGATGGATTGCAAAGGACCTGCCTAGTGTGGGCGAACAGGCTTGCTGCAGTGTTCCTCCTTTCTTATGAGTCGGGTGTCGTCACGCGTCAGGTGTTTGTTGTGGGATGTGATGGTGAGGTGTAGTCTTGACCCTTTATGTGCCTTCCTTTGATGTATTGTTTTTATAGTTCCTTGATAATATGAGAAGTCACGAAAGCCCTTGGAATTTCACTATTCTTTCACAGTTGTTGTTTTGCATATTCTGATATCATCTGTTTACTGTGATCTTATGTGATAAATGGTTTAAAAAAAGCCGACAAGTTGAAGATTGAGACACTTACGCAACATATGGGAATCATTTTTAAGGAAACGTTTCGCCACACAGTGGCTTCATCAGTCCAATACACTCTTCTGATTTGTATTGGACTGATGAAGCCACACTGTGGCAAAACGTTTCCTCAATAAAGATTCCCATATGTTGCATAAGTGTCTGAATCTTCAACTTGTCGATTTTTTAAACCATTTATCACAACTGTCAGACACTACAACATCATGGGACCTTAAGATAAGATAAGATTTCGTTCGGATTTTTAACCCTGGAGGGTTAGCCACCCAGGATAACCCAAGAAAGTCAGTGCGTCATCGAGGACTGTCTAACTTATTTCCATTGGGGTCCTTAATCTTGTCCCCCAGGATGCGACCCACACCAGTCGACTAACACCCAGGTACCTATTTGCTGCTAGGTGAACAGGACAACAGGTGTAAGGAAACGTGTCGAAATGTTTCCGCCCGCCGGGAATCGAACCCGGGCCCTCCGTGTGTGAAGCGGGAGCTTCTAGCCACCAGGCCACCTGGCCTGGTCCTACCTTTGGACG